TGAATTGAACTCTTTCGTCATCCCAGTTGCGTAGGAGGTCGTCCCAGAGGAGTTGGTAGAATTGCCAATCCAAGGACGATTTGTCCTCCCAGGCATTGAGGATGTACTGCTCGTAGAGTCTCATGACCTCTGCCTTGCACCAGACACCCTCTCCCTTGAACGTAAGGCTTCTTCGAAGTGCTCGAATGCGATTGGCTGCGGGACCATCCGAAATGACACTTTTTGTCCGTTTAGTCAATGTTCGTGTCTCGTGCCATAGTCGACGAAAATACAGACAAACAGGTTATATATGAGTTTGAGACCAAGAATGGTGTAACTCGACCTGTCCGATTCAAAGACTCCGAGGGCGACCATGAAATTAAACGGAAATTAGCTAGGAAGGAATATAAAAATTTTTTATTTCATGCAATGTTTATTTCTGTGCCGTCTTCTTTAACACCCCAATATTTCCTTTTCGATATTACATGAACTTCGGTGAAAATTTTGTCCAATTTGAATTGACCCATCTTCTCACCGACCATACCATTTCAATGAGTTTGTTATAGCCTTCTTCGTTCGTCATGAGTGCGTCGATGTTCTCATAGTAAACCTTGACTTTGGATTTGACTTCGGAGAAGAATTTGTTGTACTCGTCAAGGACTGCTTTTGCGAACTGAGGGTAAGACCAATGTTCGACAATAGGTTTTAATGTGGTTACTAAGCCACTTTCACCTTCGGTAAATTCGTATTTCAAAACAAAAGGAGAAAACCTTTCAACAAAGTTGTCGACCTTCTCATAATGTTTACTCTTCATCTCTTGAGGTTTTTTAATGGAATACCCCATGTCGAATTCATAAGCAATTTTAATGTCATTGCAAGTTTGGGGTTTGAAGCTTTCCTAATATCATACAGTTGTTGTATGACTTTTCCAACTGTATAGTTCCTTCCTGGGAACTCACCATCTTCGTTTGGAATTCCAGTCGGGATATATTGGACAACCTCATGTATGCAGCGTTAAGGTCGACATAGTATATTTTTTCATCTGAGTCGAACTTGTCGCATCCAATCGGACCAGTTTTGGAAATTCAAGCGAGTCTCTTATCTTCTGAGAAACTTCTCCTGTTATCTCATAAACATCGTCGAAGCAACCTGTTTCATATAAAACCTTCTGACCTAACTCTGATGCTCTCCAATACAATTTGACGTCGATTGGATGCCTCAATGGAAGTTTGTTTATAGCATCTTGAAGTTCTTGCAACCTCATTGGAAGTTCTTCTGGTTCAGGTTGGTATCCGAACAATCCAACTCCTTTTGGAACTGTGTACTTCTTTTGTACTAGAACTTTGTCTGGAACAACTTTTGGTCTTGCTAACAGTGAAAAGTTTGTTTCGTCTTTTGGTACAAAACTTTCTGTCAGCTTGTCATCTGGAATCGGTTCCAACAAACCTTTCTCGAAAAGAATGTTAACAGCTCTGACAATGTTGCACTTGCCTTTTCCGAACAATGGGTTTGTAAGACTTTCGTTCAACATGAAGTGGTTGTGGACAATTACAATCTTCAACCATGGTAAGTCTTTGTCAACAACAAAGTCGTCATGTGAAGAACCTTTCTCAGTCGGAATGTTGACTCGGATATTGACATTTGCCAACGGTGCAATTTTTGCCAATTGACCTCTGAGAATGTACCTTGTTTTTACACATGACTCAAGATACTTCATCTTCTCATCTGTAACAAGACCGGAGTTCCTGAGACATGTAAGAATGCAAGGTTCGTTGACAATTGTTTCAATTGAATTGTAAATTCCATACCTTGTCAAGTCAATGTCAGACTTATTTCTGAACGGGAAGTATCCAGCATGTTGTCTGACTGCTTGAGGGTTAGGTTGGTACCATTCGAACTTGACACTTGCAATTCCTTCAATTGCATTCAAAATGTCTGAGTCGGAGTCAACCATTTGTTCTCTCTTTGTAGTCTTGAAAGCGTCAAGAAGTTTGCAGCTGTTTGTTCATTGCCATGCATAGTAAATGTGACCATCCAAATCTGTTAGGTTAGTCTGAGATTGTATCCTTTCTTATTTCCGTCTTGTATGGCAGCAAGTACTCCCATGAAGCCTTCTTTGTTCTTTCCTTCGTCAAAGTTTACTGTAAAGGTTCGACCAGATGTAATTTGACTTCTAACTTCACGATACTTTTCATATGCATATCTTGTTCTTTCCATGGGAGCATGTGCGTCTTCACCTTTTCCTTTTTTCCTTCTCAAAGGATGCAATTGTTCGTCATGTTTCCAGTAGAATCTGGCAAAGCCGTCGTGTCCTTCAACTTGAGGTTCACTAACATCGAAAGGCATGTCATAAGACGTTCTTCTTCTAACCTCTCTAGTCTGTTTGGATAATTTGGCGTGCTGTTTCCAGTCCATTTCGTAGCGAAGACCAGCCAGTTTGTCATAGACTTTTATGGGTCTTCCCTTCCTATATTTAAAATTCTTCGAAACTCTCCAACCATATCTTTGCAACTCTGCTTTTATTCTAGCAGATTTTCTATCCATTCTATATGGGGGCATTTTTATAAAAATAAAAAAATATTTTTTTCTTTACTTACATAACCGCCTGCTGCCATAAGTCTTTGACGCCAACCCATACCAGCTAATGAAGGTTGACTTGGTTTAGTTTGGAAACTAAACTTTGGTTTTGGTTTATCTTCAGTTTTTGGTTTTTCTTCTTCTATCGGTTTTTCGTCACTTTTCGGTTCCTCTGACTTTACCCACTGCAGGAACAGTTGTGTCGTCAACATCTTCATAAATATCATATGCCATTTGTTTTTGTTTTCCTTTCAACTTTTTGTGTTTGTTGTAAAGTTTAGAATATTTCGACTCTAAGTCAATGAGATGTTCTATAATGAACTGTTGGTCAGTGAAGTAAACTTTTCCATCTGTTGTCTCGAAAGCTCCTTCAGACTTCAATATTTTATTTGTGAGAGTCTGTTTCTTTTTTGAGATACTAGCCGTTCCATTTCTATGAAAAGTGACTTTGTAGTTAGGGTTTGTATTTCCAGACCTGGCACTTTCTATTATTGAATTTTTTCTTCATCTGTAAGTTCTTTGACAGGTTTTGACAATGGTTCTGAACTTTTTGTTTGTGGTGTCAAATCTACCGTTTCAACTTCTTCGGTCATTTCATCTCAGTAAAAAATTTTAGTTTGGTTTGTTTTCAACTGGTTGTTGTTGTTTTTTAAGTCGGTCTAAAACTTCCTGAGGTATAGGAAGAACTTGACAAACACGTGGTTGTGTAACTGCTGGAAGCCGACAAATCCATCTTGAACCCATTTGTCTCAATGCTGTATTGTTCATTTCATCTCAGTAAAAAAATTTACATTCCCCACGTTTGAGGCGGTTGCGGTTGGTTGTTGTTTACCCACTGTTGTGCATGGTTATATCCTCTGTTAAAGAATCTTTCACCTTGGTCCATATAGTGCCCTGCTTGGTTATAGTAGTCATTTGCTTTGTTATAGTAGTTTCCTGCTTGTCTTCCTACATTGTCCATCCATCCTTGAACTTTTCCTCTTGTTTCAGGATTTGGAATAAGATTTGCTGCATCTCGTGCTACCTCCCAACCTTTCTGTACAGTTTGTATAATAGGTTGTGCTTTCTCTTTCAGTATACCTAATGTACTCAAAATCTTCCTTCCAATTCCAAATGCACCTCTGGCTATTGTTCCCACTGCGGGCAAAAATCTGGATGCAACTCCTGCTAATGCGCCAAATAAACCCATTTCTTATGGGTAAAAAATGACGAATCCAAACAAGGACCCCTATGTTTCTAAAGCAACAAAGAAAGCACTCATGATAAAAATCTTTAGTTCAACACCAAATGCTTGGTTTATGGATATCTTGGAAAACATTCCGAGGTATAGAGAAGATGGACCACCATACTGGCTAATATTTGTCGGTCAAAACACAAGATACTGTGAAGCCATACCATTAGTCCAAAAATATTTTAGATGTGAAAACTGCTTTGACAATATTCGTTGACAAATACCATCCAACAAAACTGACATCTGACTGTGAAAGTTCTTTCAAATCAGACGATATTAAAAACTATCTGCGTTCAAAAAATGTAAACCAATATTTCATTGTCGACCAAAACCATTCTGCTCTTGGTGTCATTGACAGTTGTATAAAAATCTTAAGAGACTTAAACCAACCACAAGGTGGTGAAGCAAATGAAATGTCATATGACGACAAATATAAGACATTTCTCCATGGCAAAGATGAGACAAGTTTTAAATATTTACAATAGCCGTAAACAAAAAGGTTTGGGAAACCACTCCCCCGAAGAAATGAAAAACAACCCGACTTAGAGAAAGACTATATATTTAATAGTTTAGTCAAAAGAGACAAACAAGAAAGAATGCCAGGCTTCAAACTTAAGAAAGGTGACAAAGTAAAAATAGAAATACCTAAACGCGACCCATATGAAAATACTATTGACTATGACAACAATGGGAACTCGACAGGTACTCACATTCGTGTTCGTAAAAATAGAAGAAAGTATACAAGAGAATATTATGAAGTTTTAGGCAAACATGGCAAAATGTACACACTGCAAGCAGAAGATAAAACTACTATTGTCAGACCTCGTTTTCAAACTTGTCAAAGTTCAAGGTGGTATACTTTCAAAGACAGTTCCTAACAAATATAAGACAACTCCTGACGAATATGCTAAAGAAGTTGAAAATGACGACTAAGCATTTCTATACCATGCGTAAACTGTCATGTAAGGTGGCATGTAGTCTTTACTTTGTCCCGTTGTTTGCGTATATCCTGAAACGCGATGTGTATGGTTCCTCCTACCTCAGTGTTACTCCAGTAACAATTTATAGCAAACTTAACGTCCTCTTTAACATCATATCCTTTACCTTTTGTCATTCCTGACCAATCCCAAAATCTATGCTATGCAAACCTGCTTGAGATGTACTTAAATCTATGTAGTGACTGTGTGCAGGTAAATTTGCACCTGAAATCGTTTTACTCCCACCTGTTTCCTTTGAAGAGTTTGCACAATACAAAAACCTGTCGACTATTTGAGTCCAAGTTCCAAAACAAGTAACTACTTCTGGTCTGGTAGAGTTTCATTGACGTGTAATAGAACCTATAGGAATATACTGTTTGAAGTATTTCTGTCTTTAACGTTTGAAGCTCTGTTTTGTCAGCTTTTTTAACTAACTCATCGTTAACATATGTTTTGTCAGCTTTTTTATCTAACTCATCGTTAACATATGTTTTGTCAGCTTTTTTATCATATAAATCTTGAGCAGTGAATTTAACTTTGTTTTCATCCTCCATGACATAGACATTTCTACATCTAATGTATCTCATCGTCGTTATGTCTTCATCCGATGTTAAACCTTGTGGAAAGTTAGGAGGTTTCCAATTTAATACATCCCCACCAGTTCCATCAGGTTCTTCAACCGTTCCTGCAATATTTTCTATACCAACAGTTGCGAAGAAATCGTGTGTATGTCCAACGTCACTTTTCTTGTTTAAGGTTTCTTGTAAGTTTGTAATATTTGCAATGGTATGTGTATGAGTCTTTTTAGAATATTCGTTTTCAGCTCTTGTCACTTCACTTGACATTTTATTGTCAACATATGTTTTGTCCGCTAGTTCAGGATGAGTATGTTCTTTCGTTGCATATGTTGCATCTGCTCTGTCATGTTCTTCTTGAACTTTTTCAATGACATACTCTTTGTCAGCTTTGTTGTCAACATCTGCTTTCAAAAGAAGTTCATCTATAGGTTTCTCGTTTAAAGTTCCTTTTGTTGGATTTATACAAACAGTATGGTTCTTATTGTCTTGAAATAGAAACTCGTCTGTCATTGGGTTTATCGTCAGTTTTAAGTTTCCTTCTTTCAATGACTCAGATATCTTAGAATAGTTTGAAAAGTTTGTTGTGTTCTTATTTAGAGCTTGCAAAATGAGTTGTCGGTTGTGTTGTATTTCTCTCATAGACGCTGTTTCTTTCGACATTTTTATTCTAGATAAAATATGCTTTCAATAGAAAAAGAAAATTCAAGAGTTGCTACAACTAAACCATTAGATGAACTTTTTACTAACGTAGGTCAAAAGTTTGAGACAGAGACCGTAAAGCATGAAGGCTATCGTTTTGACTACCCATTGAGATGGTTAAGAGACCCATCCGTCACAAAAGCTATTGGCTTTCGTAGAATGAAGTTCATTTCAGAAGCCATACATGGTTTCCCATTTACGGTCGGTTTTGAAGTTCGATACTATAACAAAGAGAAACGTACGTATGAGAAATTTGAACAGGGAAAACTTTTACAAGTTAGTTTGCTTGTAAACTTAGAAACAACTCTTCAAGCTTTTCAAGAAAAAATAAACGATATCTATCTCGAATATGCAAAACAGTACAACATTGACGAAGGAGAGTACCATCTCGATATTATATATGACAGGAAAAATGCAACTGTTAAAATCAATAGAATAGAAGACCTTGGAGAAGACGTTTATATTTCTACAAAATATAACAACTTGGCATGGTATAGATTTTTGAGGATGTTAAATCAGCCTGCAGAATATCCAGTACACCCGAACTTTTATGAAGTCGAAAACCCTAATGGAACATATGAAAATGTTTTCGACTCAGATGCTATTATAGTTCATGCTTCATTTTCTGGTGCACAAAACTCTTTTTTATGCTTGGCAAATGACTTTTACGAAAAACCTACAAAGCTATACGAACCACCAAGTGGAAGTATTTCAGACTTTCAAGTATGGTTTACTACAGATGGAAGAAAGAGAATAATTCCATTATACCACGCGTTTTACTTAGAACTTAGTTTCATATACAACTACTATCGAACGGTAAAAATATGATTTTTTAATACGGTTGAGGTGTTGGATTTGGTTGCCAACTAGACTGTGGTGCAGGTTCAGGCTGTTGTATAACAGGAGCTTGCTCTTCTGGTTCAGGGTCTTTAGGTATAATACCAACGAACTGACCTACTCTTTTGCCAATATTTTTGACTCCGTTCCAAATTCCTCTTCCTACGGTTTTTATTCCATTCCATATACCTCTTCCAACATTTCGAAAGAAGTTTCCTATTCTTCCAAAGAAACCCATTTTACTATATGTAAAAATCTAATGTCCACCTAGTCTCTTACGTTTCCTTCTGAGTTCCATAGCATTCTTTAACTGGAGCTCATACATTCTATTTCTCCTCTGGTAGAAAACATACTCTGGGTCAACTCCTGTGTTCGCGTCATCTGCATAGAGTTGTTTATATCCCACTTCGGGGTTTGTATAAAACTCTTTCCATCTCATATTTGCATACCATGGTGGCAAACCTAAAGCAGCGTCATTTGACATGGCAGTTTGCATTTGTACATCTGTTGGCACTTGACCATAGTTTGCCATTGCAGTTTGTATTCTAACTTCATTTGGAATATTCTCTGGGTTTGGTTGTCCAGGTTGCTGTGCATTCGCTAAGTTCTGTGCGTCCATTTAATATTAGATAAAAATATCTCTTACGAGTACATATGCTGAACATTTGCAGGCATTGGTTCATCTTCATATTCTCTATATCTTTCTGCCACGTCAAATAAGTAAATGACACAATGGAAAAAACCTAAAACAAGTAGTCCTATTTCAAACCACATTTACTTACTAGTAAAATTTCTTTGTTATGACACTTTCTCCGGTTTATAGGACCTCTCTCATATTCTATCTTATCGTATCTAAACTCATAGTCATGTATGTCCTCTAACCATCTCATGACACTTTCCAAACCACTTTTATCGGATGTAAAGTAAAAGCATGGATGGTTATGTAAAACGTCTAAAGTTTCTAAAGAGTCTCTCAAAGTCCAGTCTACTTGGTATTGAAAATCCCATGTGTTATAGAACGGCGGGTCCACTATAAAGAAAACATTTTCCTTGTCTTTATATTTTTCATACAACTCTGTCCAATGACATCTCACAAACTCTATACCCTCAATATATTTTTCTATGTCCTCTTTGAAAACATTTGTATAGTTAAGATATAAAACTTTTGACATAAGTGTTTCAATGTCATGAACTCTTATAGCACCACTATATAATAGTCTAGCAGATATACTATCCCAGTCTATATATTCTGCTTTTTTCAAAACCTCTCTGACAGTATTTTTCTTATCTAATGGTATACGTTCCATCTTACCTATAGGTATCTTTTCTTTCAACTCACTCAATATTTTATTTGTGTCTGGTATATGTTTGAGACGGTTCATATAGTTGTCGAAGTCATTGCATATAATCTTTGAGTCAGGAAATACAGTATGGCACAAATGGGATATATAGAAACTTCCACCGAACAAATCTACAAATGTTAGACCATTCGGTAGTTTCTTAAGTTCTCTCAATAGAATATCTTTACATCTACTCTTATTTCCAAAGAAGGGTAACGGTGGTTTTGTGAAATTCATTTTATATTTAATAAAAATGTTTTTTCCCTGAAAAGTGACAGAAAAGTGACAAAACATGAAAACATATATATTTTGTGAAAAGCTCCTGGAAGACCCGTATATAAAAACTTCATTTTATACTAACATCTTCGGGGCTAGAGGGCACGAAGTGCCTGGAAGCCCCACTACCTTTTTTTTTTTTTTTTTTTTTTTTTTTTTAGACCAATCAAATCTTAATATTAGTAAATGTATTTTCCTAGAAAACAAAGCAAAATATACATTTTATGCTCATAGTGGTCGTATTATAGTTAAACACTGCACTGGAATTTTGTCTAAAGGTGAAGCCGATGGTTCTGTTAATACAGATGAAATGGTTACAGATTCATTTAAACTTACATTTGAATTTCTTTCATTAGGTAAATGTGAAGCAGAACATCCATTTTTATTCAAAAATCCATTGATTGATGACGAAAATGACGCATATTATCGACATTTGGTTTATAAAAGAAGATGAGCTAAATTAAATATTAAATTTTTAAATTTAAGGTAAAAATGCAGATAAATATGATTTTAAGTCTTTGTTCCTCATCTGAGGTACAAATTCATTGTATCGACCTCAGATGAGGAACAAAGACTGCAATCAGATGTTGATTGTCGACAAAAGACTCGGAAGATTGTAACAAACAATCTTTTAAGTCTTTATTCCTCATCTGAGGTACAATACCTCAACAAGTACAAGCTGAAAATAAAAATTTCGTAAATTTAAGTACTCTCTATCAATGCGGACATGATTACACTGGATATGCCAGTATATATCATTCATATGGAGATAAAACTCTAATTTCTACAAACATCACTAATACGAAATGTAATGAAAATTCAGGTTGTAATATTGCTTTAAATCCAATTAATATTAGGTTTTGTTGTTTCATTTCTAATGATAATAGTGAATCAGGCATAGCTTGCTTGAATATTGGTGATACACCTGATTCATTTATCAAAAATTCAATTTTCAAAAACAATTCATGTATAAGTGATGATTCAAGAGGTGGTATTATTACTTACTCAGTATCACCTCAAATAACTCTTACTGTTTCAGAATGTGTTTTCTTAGAAAATATAGCAAAAAATACTTTTTTTGCATATAGTGGTATTATTAAAGTTATTCACTGCACTGGAGTTAATATAACTTCAGGTGGTAATAATGGTTATATTGACACAGATGGAATGGCTACAAATTCATTTAAACTTACACTTGAACTTCTTTCATTAGGTAAATGTGAAGCAGAAAATCCGTTTTCATTAGAAAGTATTTCATTTCCAAATCCAAAAATCGATGAATTTGACATATTTCATCTAAATCTAAAACGATATAGAAGATGATAATTTTACTATACATGTAGTTTTTATTCATTTGTTTAAAGTAAAAACCTGCGATAATATAGTGATATCGACCTTTTTTTAAGAAGACTTATTCTCTGCCTTTTTATTGAGTGAATGAAATTATAGAAATTCTTTTATTATTAATAGAAGAAAGAAATGAAATTTCAGAGTGGCTTGTTGACAAAGTAATTATCAACATTCATCAGATTAATGCCATGAGTAATTTATGGGAATACTTCGTTGAGATTCACTAATCATTAGAATACAAAGTTGCCATTTTCTATAATTTGTAATAAATTAAAAAATATTTAAAAATTAAACAGTTTTAGTCAGAGTCTTCTGATGTAAGAGAAAAACCTTCAAGCTGACTTGCTGACACAATAAGGTAGGTAAAAATAATCGCTGCTAAAACTACCGTTCGTAACACTCTCAATTTTGAATTGTTACGGGCGGGAGCACCTGTGAAATTTGCCGATTTCAAAATAAAGAAACTTTACGTGTTGTAAACTGTTTACATTTGTAAACACTTTACAACACGTAAAGTCCTCAAATTTGAGAGTGTTAATGTCAAAATTTCGTGTTACGAGTGATTTTACCTACCTTAATATTCAACTTTAATCAGATTAATTTTATGAGTCATTTATTGGAAAAATTAGTTGAAATTTGTTCTGCATTTGAATTTAAAATTGTCATTATCTATATTTATAAACATTGATAAATAAAACAATTTTAGTCAGAGTCATCGGATGAAAGAGAAGAACCTTCATCAAATGAACTCCTTGAATCATTATTGGAAAAATTAGTTGAAAATTTGTTATTCCAATAGAACTAACTTTGTAATAAAATAAAAATAATAATAATAAAAATTAATAAATAAAACAATTTTAGTCGGAGTCATCAGAAGAAAGAGAAGAACCTTCAGATTGGCTTGCTGACACAGTGATTGTCAATCTCTTTCTTTCCTGTGTGATAGGTGAAAATATAGATCCAATCAAGAACTGAGATGAATCAGATTTATCCTGTGAAACTCCAATTGGTGCAGGGAATTTAGGAGGTTCTGGAGGAAACTGTGCTTTAGGAGGTTGTGGAATTTGTTGTGTGTTTTCATTTGTTTCTTCATTGTTTATGTCATCAGACATTGTTGCAATTGCACTTTCTACTTCAACAGTGTTGTTTTGGTAATAACTGCGAATAACAACTGGAATGCCTGGAAATGATAAGTATATATCTGATATTTCTGAAAATATCCTATTTACCCGCAAAATGTTGCGAAAATCTCCAATTGAAAACTCTAAATTTCGGAATTTAGTGTCATTAAGTTCAATATTGCAGTTCTGATTCTGTTTTATGTTCAATGATGAGTCATTCTTGGACTTTTCTTCATCTTCTGATGAGAAATTGGCGTAAAGTAGTGATTTTTGTGAATTAATTGATAAATTTATGAAATGTACCCTTTTAAATGCGACTTTGATATCTCCAAAGTATGTATGATTCATACGAAGCTTGGCTACTTGGTATATTGTCGTAGAAAAGTAATCTCCGACGGCGGAAATCGCATCTTGTAAAAATAATTCAAAATTGTGTATGATTTTGTTCTGGTCGACCATTTTGAGTAGTAGCATGGTCCTTGTTGTATCTATTTCGAGGTCTAATTGTATGGAATTCGTCAAATTTTTGGTATTATTTGTAATACTTTTTGCAGTTATCTGGAAAATTACATTTTCTTGGTCGCTAGTGTACTCATATGAGTTGAAGAATTCTGGTTTGAAGCGGATTACTGGTCTGCAAGTATGGGAAACATTATTTACAAAAATCATGAATTCATCCTTCATTGCGCAGATGACAATGTCTTCGTTAATCCTTCCAAGATTCTTAAAAGCACGTAGAAGTATGTTAATCCTCTCTTGGTTCACAGTTGTCGCTTTCATTCAGAAAATCTGACTGAGGAACTTCCTCTAATAATTCAAAATGTAAATTTTCAGAGTAAAAGTGACTGCTTTGAATTGTCTTAGTTTTAAACTTATTATATAACATAAAAGAAATAAATTTTCCAAAATTGTGATAAAAATTTACGTTAATAAATTTATAAAAAAACAGAGGAATGTCTATTACAACACGTTCTGATCGTTTCTTTGATCTCGCGTGTTCAGACACTCCTTCACATGTTGGTCCAGGTAGTTATGATCTTCCTGGTTCAATTGTTGCAAAAAAAGAAACTCCATATCCGTTTAATTCAACATCAGCACGCGATAGAGAAGTTGTAAATGATACTCCTGGTCCTTCAGATTACTATCCACAAGTTCCTAAACTAAATATAAGTGCAGCCTCTGGTATGAAATCTTCATCCGCAAGAAGTGCTTTTCCTATTTCAGATACGCCAGCACCAACAGATTATTCAGTCATAGAGAAATGGAAAAATACTAAATATCCAAGTAAAAGACAACCAATGTCTGCTCGTGGAGTTAGAAACTCTTTTACAGGAGATAAACAGTTTGAAACAAGTCCTGCCGATAGAGATATTCGATTACCATTCAATAGAGGCGCTAAAATCTCTAATTCTGCTCGTTACTCTCCAGCCAAAGATAATTTTCCAGGTCCTGGCTCATATAACGTATCTTCTGGTCTTTTTGATAAGTCATCAGCTTCTCCATCCGCACGCCACAAGTCAGCAGCGTTTTTATCAAGTTCTGAACGAGATGTTTTTCGTACACCTGATTGGGTATCAGGAGAATGTGGTTTAGGTCCGTCTTCATGGAAATTACCAAATAAATCAAATGCTCCTTTTGGTTCTAGAGCTAAAAAGAAAAATTTCTGGGGATCCAATCGTAATCCTGGTCCAGGATCGTATTCAGTTAACGAAAATAGCGATTTCAATGCTAGTTCCCCTAAGAATCCTCGAAGAAAGCGTTCTGGCAAAGGAAATGCTGCTTTTGGATCCGGATCAGAACGAAATATTTTCGGAACGCCAAATGATGTTCCAGGACCAGGTGCGTACAAGACTGAGAAGAAGAGGAAGATCAAATCCGATAGAAACAAGCCATTTAACCAAAAAAGCGAAAGATTTACGAGTTCAAAAAAGGATTACGATGCAGAACCAGCTTCTTACGATATTGATTTCGGAGACAAGCTCAGAAGAGAATCCCAAAAAGCCAGACAAAGTGCTGCTTTCATGTGTAGTATTGATAGAAATCCTTACAAAGTTACATCAGAAAGTCCCGGAGTTGGCAGTTATTCACCGGAAAGATATGATACAGACAAGCACAAATTAAAGGTCTGTATTATTGGTTCACAAAGAGAAGATCCACGAAAGATATTTGGCCAGAAAATTGAAGATACTCCTGGACCAGCTCAATACGAGATTCACGAACCAAAATCATCATCAAAAGGAGTTAGTATAAGACGTGGTAAACGAGCTCATCTTGGAGGAGCAACTGATACTCCTGCTCCTGGTTATTATAACACTGAAGGAAATATGGTGAAACAATCTTTCAATGTTACGTATTCAATTGCTAAGCTGTGATTTTATTTGTAATAATAAATGTTTGTATTATGTTTTGAATTAACTTTTTTAATTTTTTGAGAAATGATTTTCTAAATACTTAAATAAGTAGGAATCTCCTTAATCTATTAAGATTCTTTTGCTAGTGTATCAAAGATCAAAGTGGAGTTATCGAATGTTTTGCTTGTTATATGAGTTTTCTCTAAGAAAAAAAGAACATTCGTCGTACTTGATAGTTTAAGAGTGTAAGATTGTGAAATTATCTTATCTCTATTGTGAATCTAAAGCAAAGGATGAATGCTGATTATCATATTTGAAATAAGATACTTTATGGCCTATGCAAATTTGAGAAAAGTCTCCAATTTTGCATTAATGATGGTAGTTGCTCACAATTTTCTCCTATTGGCCAAAAACAAAAGCTGTATAAATGAAATAACTGAAGAGAATTCCATTGAGCACAAAGAAAAAAGTTTAAAGTTTTAAAATCTCTAATTTATACAGACAAACATGGTAAGTTTTAATCTAAAAAACAAGTTCGAAAGATTCGAAAACATCTGAAGGAGCGCACCAGTCGAATAACTCATCGATCTTAGAATTTGAGTTCTCCTCGAATATTGGAGCTGGAGTTGACTCGATTGGAGCTGGAGATGGAGCTGTGTTGAATGACTGTGGAATGGTCATATCATAGCTTATCATTGGAGGTGTTTGGACGTAAGCTGGACTAGATTGTGGAGATTTTCTTGCTTTTTTGCCTGTTCCTGTAACTAAAAAGCTTGCATTATGTGTTTTAAGAAATTCAAGTGTAACACCTCTTCTTTTAAGAACCATGTATCTAGATTTGATACTAATATCAGATCTATTATTGAAAAATTTGGAAATAATAACCCATTTTGCTCCAAATTCTTGATATTTTTCAAGAAGAAGGATATCTTCAGCAACTGAAAATGGACTTCTGTTAATGTTTGGGTTTAAGTAGTTTTCCCATCTTTCCTTGCACTGGCGTGGATTTCTGTCACCCATCTTTTCGGAAATTAATTTCCAATTCAACTCTGAACATTCAGATATAATGGAGCAAAGTCTCATATCATCATTCTTAGTGAACTTACACTTTGGATGGGACTTTGGAGAAGAGCACATATCATCAGACATCATTCTGGAATAATGAGTTTTTCTTTCACAAAATTTTTATTTGAAAATTCCCGCTAATTGAGAGAGACTCTGAATAGCACAAAATAATAATTCTTGATAAATTTTGATAAACATGTAATGCAGAATATATGTAACTTTTTATATGAAATTCAGAGTAATAAATTTGTTTGCTATGATTTGAAAATTGAAAGATGATAAAAATTGTAGATGTTAGTATACTTGTCATAGCATTGTTAATTCTTAAAAAATAATCAACTATAATCTTATCAAAATTTTTCAAGGAATAGATTGATTTTAAGTATTAAATTAGTTTATTTATATGATATAGATAATGTATTCGAATTGCGAATTATTGAATTCAATTTTCATTTTGGCAAAATTGCAAGAAGAATCTTAATATAAGACGAATTTAAAATTTGCTAGTCTCGTCCCACTTTTCAATGCTCGATTTTTAAAAACTGTTTAAAAATGGAGCTTATATTGAAATAGTTTGTGGTAATTTTTAGTCTCTACACTATTTCAATATAAGCTCCATTTTTAAACAGTTTTTAAAAATCGAGCATTGAAAAGTGTGATGAGACTTGCAAAATTTTATTTTTTGAGAAATGTTTTGAGGATATCTCACAATTAGCGGGGCCTATTCGTCTCAATTTAACTTCAATTAAAATGATGGGCAATTATATTTTTTACAATTTACCAAATATAAACAATATGTAATATAGAATCGTTTAATTCATAATTTCATTAAACATATTATTTATTCAAATATTTAAGAAGAAAAAGGAGGTTTAATAATTAATTATTTAGCGGAAGTTTTGATTGATAACACATAGCAAGAAACAATTAATCAGATATGGTTCATATTAACAATTTTCAACATCATCAAAATATATTTTTAAGATTCTGGCTTCTGGCCATATTTCAATTAATAACAGCTAAATTATAGTTGGTCTTTCCCATATAATTACAAAAAATCTCTATAAAAATATTAATGAAGGTTGGTAGAAGGGATTTTTACTTGAAAATGGCAGAAACAATATATAAAAGCAATGGCATCCAAAGCTCATTCATTTTTGAAATCCAAGATTTTATATAGTAATTTTAATATTAAATTAGATACATATATAACACTTACGAACAATTCGTCAGAATTTAAACTTTTGGGACGAATTTTTGATAATTCCCGAGAAAAACAGTAAGTAAAGCAAAAAATTGACATAATGTAAGATTTTGAATTTTTATCGTATATGCAATAACGAGGAATGTAATATACAAAATAACGAAAGAAATTTTTTACAGTTGTAAATTTATTGTTTATTTGAAAAATTGATATCAATCAATATCTATAATGCATTTGTACATAAAATTGCGTAAATTCAAATAGAATTTGCTTTCAAATATAATCACAAGTTTTAGTTATGATTAATAAATTTTGATACGCTAAATATTCACTTCCAAACAATATTAATAATCGTAATTTTCATTGAATTAAAGAAGTTATATAAATATTATGATAATAAGTATTATGTTGATATTCATTCAGATGATAGTTGAAGTAAAAAATTGAATATAGGCCTGTATTGTAAAAGATAATCGTTCGTCATCTTTATTGTTATATATAAAATAAAACTAAGTTTCTAATGATCAAATAATTTAATGGAAAAATTCAATGCATTTTATTGAAATTTTGAGTTTGCTTCAATTTTTTGACGCTTGTAACATCGAATATTCCTTTGATTTTTATTCAATATGATAATGGGTTATAATATTTATTTGAATTGAAATTTTTTGTTAAAAATGTTTTGGTTGATATTATGGACATCTTTATCTTATCAATATATCGAAGTTAACTCCCAATACTTGTTACAAAATATTACAGCAACACCAGGCGAAGAATATAGATTATCATATCCATCACGTACAGTTCAAACAATGTATTGGATGGTTTTTTACGATCTTTCTGACCAAGATACATTAAAATATATGCCAAGGCGTGATTATTCAAACGATTGGGATGATCCATATTGGATTACAGCAACTCGCGAAAATTTAGAAGATATTTTTCATTTAGGTATTCCTATGACATTTACTTTTAAAGTAGGCTCAGTAAAAGAAGTACCTTGCAGGGGTGGATACACACCTTATAGAAATTGCGATTCTGGAACTTTTGTTACATCAGTCACTCAATTTAGTATGGAAGGCCTTATGGAAGAGTATAACATCGAATCTGCTGAGCATTTCTGCGTTATATTTGTTCATAAAAGTGGATCTTTTACACAAGAAGTTCCAAGTGAGAATCGATATGACGTAACTGCTCGTGATGCTAAATCAGGACTTAGATCATCAAACTCTTTTTTTAAAGGATATACATCGGAAGCCGGATATACTTCAATTTTCCTTATTTTTAATTTAACGTCAGAAAATCCTATTTCTTCGTTTGATTTTACATTTACTGATGCTGTAACTATTTTCGGTACTCATACTTACCGTGACTTAGATGATATTAATAATCTTCCGCCAACCCCAGCCCCATCTCCTGAGCCAACACCTCAAACACCAGCACCTACTGATCCTACCCCAGCCCCAACTGATCCAACTCCCGAGCCAACACCCCAAACTCCAGCACCTACTGATCCAACTCCTGAGCCAACACCGAGGACTCCTGAGCCAACGCCTCAAACACCAGCACCTACTGATCCTACCCCTGAGCCAACTCCGAGAACTCCTGAGCCAACACAAGAACAACCAATAATAAATCCGACTCCACAAACTCCAGAACCAACTACTGAGCCACCAGTAGTCAGTACGACCACAGGAACAGAAACTCCTACACCTATTCCAGGAGTTCCTGATCCAACGACTCCTTTACCTACATGGGATGGAGAATGGGAAGAAGAGCCAAACGTTATAGTAAGAGGTGATGATATTCCGGAAATCGCAGAGACACATCCGCCAATCCAAACTAATTATATAAAGACTGAAGTATCTAAAGTCCAAACAGTAGTTACTATATCTTCGGGCACAGTCATTGTAAGTGTAGTTGTTGTTCTAACAGTAGTTAATATCGTTAGATCTTACAAAAAAGTGAAAGATATTGTTCATGATGTCAACAACTCAGATGTTGAAGACTTCTCTTTTTCAGAATCATATACATTAGATACTATTTCCGATGAAAATAATAATAATAATAGAAATCCTTTTGTTTTGTCTGATTAAAATTTTGTTTGTATTTTTAGCATGTATATTAAAATTAACCACATTTTTACTTGATTCGTTCCAAGCCTTTATGAAATATATAGGAAATCTTGGATTCTAGATTCACATTGAAATCTTGCAAAGGAAGCATTATGCAAATTATGACATAAACTAAATAGGCTGATGCAGGAATAAATTTTCTATCCGCTTAAAAATGTGTTTATCCGATATATTTTCCGGTTCATTATGTAATTTTGATATAATACGCCCGCTATAATGATGAAAGAAATCAAGATATGATATATATAATGATTTTATCATTAATGCTTAAATTAGATCAATAGAATTTCGTTATGTCAGATATAATTGGTAAAAAAAATTAAAATAATTAAAAGATAAGACATGGTTTAGAAACCGTAAAGGGTCTTGCCCTGGCGCTTGAGGGCATAGACGACATCCATAGCTGTAACTGTTTTACGACGAGCATGTTCTGTGTATGTAACAGAGTCACGAATAACGTTCTCAAGGAAGTGACGAAGGACGCCACGAACTTCTTCGTAGATATCACCAGAGATACGCTTGACACCACCACGACGTGCAAGACGACGGATAGCTGGTTTTGTGATACCCTGAATGTTCTCACGCATTACCTTACGATGGCGCTTAGCACCACCCTTACCAAGACCCTTACCACCTTTGCCACGGCCAGACATTATAAATTATGAACTGATGTAAATTCCCCGCCAAAAGGGTTTTCAATAAACCCCGCCAAAACTTTTGAATAAAATCCCCGCTATTTTTTCTCTCAATTTTTGGCGCCAGCCCGCCAAAATCATTATTTATAATGGCTCGTACAAAGCAGACAGCTAGAAAGTCCACAGGTGGCAAGACCCCACGTAAGTCCCTCGGTGCCAAGGCCGCTCGTAAGTCAACACCAACAATCGATTCCCAGGGAGCAAAGAAGCAGCACCGTTTCCGCCCAGGTACAGTCGCTCTTCGTGAAATCCGTAAGTACCAGAAGTCTACAGATCTTCTTATCCGTAAGCTCCCATTCCAACGTCTTGTCAGAGAAATCGCTTCTGGCTTCCGTGGTGATCTTCGTTTCCAGTCCTCCGCTATCGCTGCCCTCCAGGAAGCTTCTGAAGCTTACCTTGTCGGCCTCTTCGAAGACACAAACCTTTGCGCTATCCATGCTAACCGTGTTACAATTATGGAACGTGATGTTCAACTTGCTCAGCGCATCCGTGGTGAGCGTAACTAAACATACTTTACCGCTTATTTGATTCATTTACAAATCTTTTTTCGGTAATATTTAAAATATATTTTTTATTTAATCTTTATTATTGATTTAAATAAGATTAACGCGTATGTGAAAGGTTTTATAATAATATTTTACTTAACAGAGAGAGAAAAAAAATATAACAAAATAATTTAAAAATTATCAAAATCCATTTCTTGGAGTTGCTTGAAAAGCTCGGAGGATTGTTTTTGAGGCTTCAGAGGAGCTCTGTGTAAAAAGATCCATACATTAGTGTCCTTATTTTTAGAATACATGTCGCAGAAGTACAAAGAGTATTCTAATATCTTTATTGGATCTGATTTATTAACAAATTTATCAAGTGCACTCATTACTTCTCCAATATCAAAATTCATTTCACCTAAAATTGTCGGAAAACCAAGAATAAGTAATGCAGATGTAAAGAATACAATAAATGTATAAGGGCATTCACTTGAATAAAAAGTATCCCAAAGTCTATAAACATTATTTGGAAATTCTCTTTTCATTTGCAAAAGGAAGTAACGATAAACTACAATGAGTTCAGTATAGTTATAATTAATGAGGAATTGTTTGAGTGATGGATGGATTGAAGCAATAACATAATAAACTCTTTGTGCTAAATGACTTTGCTCAGCAGAAAGGTCTTGGAATATATTAGTATGGTTACTGATTTTAAGGCAGTTAACAAAATTCCAAAATATCATACTTTGGGCTTCAGAAGTTGGAAGATTTTCTCCATTAAATAAAACTACAGAATCCTGTTGAACTTCTTTGAAATAAACACGCATAAAAAGTGATGCATAGTCTCCCATTCCTTGTACGAACCCTGTATTTGAATTATAAATTGAATAACAGCGTAAAACGGTTTCTAAGAATTTATGTGCTGGAGAATTATCTGCTTTGAACATTTCAGTACCTCTGTCTGTTCTTTTGACATCATTTGAAATGATATCAACAGAATAAGCAAATTTCTTTTGTTCTGGGATTTGTTCAATCTGCTGCAGAAGAATCTTGTATTTCTCGTATTGTTCATTGACTTTCTTCTTGTTTTCTTCAGATGTTTTAAGAGGGTCGTAATATTCAAATAAATATAACCAAATATAGGGTCTTGCTTCATCTTCAATGCCTGAAAAATAGATCTCTGACTTTAACTCCTGGAAATTATTGAGAACTCCTTTTTCATCAAATAAATTAGTGAAATGTTCCAATGAAATTGGAGCTTTTCTTTTAGACAAAATAGGAGGTAGGGAAGATTCGATTTTTGAACAAACTGCATTATGAACAATAGCATAATAAAGTAATCCTAAACTTTTCTCATTTGGAACATTTTTTGAAATTTTGTAAATAAAATCTGATGATTGTGTAATAATATGATCTTTTACAAGTTTATTTAGCGCTTCTGATACTTCTGATGCATCTCCATCTAAAATCTGGAAATTTAGATTATAATTTGTTGTTGGAATATCAAATATAAGGCTGCATTTAGATTCTTTCGAATTTTTAACTGTTATTGTTGACGATTCTTTAATGTTAAATGTAAATGATGAATTCTCTACGTTGCATTTTTTTATATCGAAATCTTTCTTAGAAGATGATTCAAATTTAACAAATGTGTTGGTATCATTTCGATATATTGATACTTTTCCATGACTTTCTTTGTCGTTAAATATCTTAAGTAATGAATTTTTCTCATTCAAATAAATTTCATTCATAATTAATGACTTATTAACACTAGATTATGCTTATATGTATTCTAAATATTTTAGTAATATTGTTAAAAACTATTAAAAATAAAGAAAGTTTACAAAAATTTTTAGAACCATCTCTTTTTCGGAGTTGGAGTTGGTGTAGGTGTTTTAACTGGTGATGGAGATGGTGTAGGAGTCATATCAATGCAGATATCCTCATCAACTTTCACATGATTCGCTGAAGATTTTCCAAACAAGAAATAAACAGCAAATATGGCACAAGCAATCAAGGCCAAACCGATAATTATCAATTTCGGATTGAATCCAGTGGAAGATTTTTGTGAATTTTGACCATTTCTTGATGATCTCTCTCCTTTTGAGTCTTTCTTGTAATTACCTATATCTCTACTAATAATATTTCCATTTTCATCTCATATTTCGTCATTTGAATTAAAATCAGCAGAAAATCCATCTCCTTTTGAAGAATTAGGTCCTTTGGAGCCGTTCTTTCTTGAATGGACGCCATTTCCTGCTATTCCATCTTCATTTCCTTCATTACCATTATTATTTGAATTATTTGATCTTCTGGACTTGTTTCTTGGACTAATAGGGTTTCCATTAGCATCCTTTAATGATTCGCTGTTGTTTCTTCCTGATCTGTGATGTCTACGAGGAGAATTATTTCCATCTTTGGAATTATTTGGATCAACACTGTAATAATCATCATAATAGTCATCATTTGTGTCATTTCCATTTGTACCGTTATTCTTTCCACTTCCATTTCTTCCTTTTCCTCTTGAAGACCTTTGATTTTCTGATTTTCCGTTTTTGTCTGAATTTTCAGGGCCATTGTTCTTAGAATTATTTGGATTGTTCGATCCCTTGAAAAATCCGAAGATTCCGCCTCCGAAATTGGAATTATTATTTCCATCGGAATTATCATTGGATTTTCCATTAGAATTAGATCCATTATTATTTTTACTGTTGTTGGATCCATTCTTTGAACCTTTCTTCGAATTATTTCCTTCAATTCTATTTCCTGCGGAATCGTATTCATAAGAATCATCATTATCATTATTATTGCCATTCTTAGACTTTCTACCACCTTTTGATCTGAATGCTGGTGGTATTTCGCTTTCAGAAACTCCAGTAATTTCATCAACTATTGTCGATTGACAGTAATCAGCATCATTGAAGCCAGATAGGTTAGACGTAATGGCAACATGAGGAATAACAAAGCTGTTTAAGTCAGAAAGGGCTTCAAGAGAGACTAAATCTTTAATTGGAGGATTTTGTAATGTTTGCAATGAATTCATCTGTTTTGATGCTTCTTCGGCACGTTCGTTAGCAAAATCGGAGTATTTCGCTTCAATCTTCTTAGTTACATCATTATAATGAAGAGTTTCGTTGATTTCACGCCAGCGTTGACGTAACATTTCGCGCTTCCACCATGAAAAGACTGGTGACATCTTTATCTTTCTTAACTTTGGATTGCTGCCTTTATCTCCAAGATGTTCAAGAACGTATTGTAATTGAACGTGTCGATTGTATTCCATAGAAAGTTCAACCCATAATAATCCGTTGCGTTTGTATTTAATTGTTTCGTTTTTCTGTTTTTCGACGTCATCCATGGATTCAAACTGTGTGTTAATTTCATCTAATTTGCCTTTAACTTCCTTTAGGTTACTAAGTGATAATGAGCATACATGGATTGGTGATCGCTGTTTACTGCTCATTCTCTAAAACAGATAAATTGAATTTATTGTAGCGTTAATTTACATCTTCTCAAATTTACCTGCTCTGAAATTCATCTGTTGTTACAACGTGTGATATTAACAATAAATATTGATTTAGAACTTGGGAAATATGTTGGATATCGATATAATTTCATCATTACTCAAAGAAATTAAATTCGATAAAATTTCTTTTAGCACTAATAACAAAATTGAGCCTATACTATTTTTAATTGTTACATTTACATTATTTTAGCACTAGTTCAGTAACTGTTTATTCATTTTTCAGAAAAGATTAATCAAACCTCAGCTGAAAATATGATATATAATAGAAGAAGTAGAAATAGCTAACTAAAATAGTAGAGAAATGAAATATATGGAGAACTGTTCAGCTCAATTTGAATGAAAATGTCTATCAAATATTTCAAAAAATAAAAAATGATTTTATTGAAGCTTCGAGGGTTCATTTATTTTTTCAAGTTCAAAAAGGTTTCAAGAATAACACTAAAAGGAAGGAATTTTTTCTTTTTCTTTTTTGATCGAATTAAAACTTGTTCAATTGAAGGGAATTCAAATGAAAATGGATGTTCTGCTTCACATTCACCTAATGAAAGAAGTTCAAGTGTTAGGTCAAATGAATTTGTAGTCATTTCATCTGTAATGATATATTACCAAAAACAAAATTTTTTGCAGTTAAATTATCTCCACAGCAGTGAATAACTGTAATTGTACCCTCAGCTGCACCAAAAGTACAAGTTGCATTGTTTCCAAAAAAATACATTCTGAAACAGTAACAGCCGTTGATCGATAAGAAATTGTAATAAGACCGTAATATGAATTATCAATTTTACATGAGTTGTTTTTGAAAATTGATTCTTTGATAAATGAATTTGGTATCCTATCATGAATCATGCATCTAGCACCTGATTCATGATTATCATTAGAAATGAAACAACAATAGCTAACATAAGCTGTTTTTTGATTAAATTTATAACCAGCATATTCTTTAGCTCTTGCATTAGAGATGTTTGTAGAATAAAGAGTTTTATCTCCATAAATATGGAATATACTAGCAGATCCAATATTGTCTTGTCCGCTTTGATAGAGAGAACTTAAGTTGACAAAATTCTTGTTATTTGTGCCAACATCTGTGTATGAATGCTGTCCAGCATTTGCTGCATAACATTTAATGGTGCAAAATCGGTCTTGGACAATAGAACTTCCACCTTGGAAGCAGATGCAGCCACCATTTCCTTCATTTTGTGCAACGTTTGTATATGTACATATTGAATGTAGTAATTTAATGGAATTGATATTGCAATTAATGACATTCTCTGAAAAATCTTTGAAATTTGAAGATAATATAAAGAAATCCGAGGAAAATGTTGGACGTGAATTATTTGTAATGGTAGTATACTTTTCCGCTGGCTTTCCGTAATATTCTTCCCATATGTCATTTGGAACGCCAGCTTCATTGAAAGCTAGATTTCCGAATAAATTTTCAATAAAAAAAGGAACTTCCTTTTTCCAAATTTCAATGAATTTGAGGAGAAAAAAAAAACTTTGGAAAATAGATTTTTATATTTAACCTCTATCCGTTCAACTAATATCTCTTAGATGGATGAAAATCTGTGTTTACAATTAGTAGTAGGATAGGACGGGTTGTGTGACTTTTTTTGTTACATCTATATATAGACGATGCATTAAAATATATTTATTTATAAATCATTAAAAAAATTAACATTAATTTTAAAATAATTTATTTTTTTATCTTTTATAAAAGAAGCTATATATAGATGATGTCAGATATTCCGCGATTAATTAAACATTGTTTAAATCCTGAATGGGTTAAACTTCAATTTAAAAATGAAGATTGTGAATTATTAAATGAATATGAAAGCCAAAATAAGCTAATGAGGTATAAATATAATGATAAAGAATATTTAATTTCATGGAATCAATGGAGTCATAATCAAAGACCTCATAAACGAGAAGAAGAAATTGAAAATAATGAAATGGAAATCATTGATGACATTAAAGAGGATGGAATTCCTAAATTTTGTAGAAAAACCTTTAGAACTAAGTTAGGAGCATATAAACGTAGAGTATTAAATCCTGAATATCTTAAACATCAATTTAAAAAGGAAGACTGTGAATTATTAAACGCTAATGAATATGAAAATGCTAAATCAAAACTGAGATATAAATATATTGGAAGTGATGAAAGGTGTAAAGATAAAGATAAAGTTTATTCAGTTTCATATAATAACTGGCACACGTTAGGGATAAAAAAACATTTAGGAGATTATGGTAAAAGTTCTGAATTCTTCAAATCTAGTATGTACGAGAGAGTAAAAGAAATTAGAAATAATTATTTTCATGAATAAAAAATAAACTTTTAAAAAATTCATGTCTCACATTTATGAAAATTTATTTTGTATGAAATGAGCGTCAAAACTAACGACGTTAAAAAATTGGGATTCACAAATGAGGAAATAAAGGATATATTAGATGAGATGTGTTATGAAGTTAGTAAATATTATTTAAGAAATTGTCAAAAATTTGCCGAGTTATTAAATGATTTAGATTATGATGGAAAAATGAATAAAGATGATGTTATAAATTTCTTATATCCTACATCTGAAGAAGAAAAACCTAAAGAACCTGATGTTTTCCCTGAATATTATGAAGAACGGATTAAAGATGATGATGAATACGATGAAATTGAAATTGAAAGACTGAAAAAATAAGAGATGAAATAGATGAAAAAATTAAGGAATTAAGAGAAGTTGAAAAATATAATGAAAATGAAGTAGAGGGTTTAATGAATATCCCAGCTTCAGAATCAGAAGTACAGAAATCTCATGAAGAAAGATATAAAAATTATGTCTCAGAATCAACACAAAATTTATTAGATGGCGAAATAGATGAAACACTTTCAGAAGAAGGTACTAAATTTATTCGTAAACATAAGTTACAATTTATTGATAATGAAAAATACCCTTGTATCTTACTTTCACCACCTCTCGATTCTGAGAAATTCAAAAAAGCTCTTAAAAATGTGACATATGCAACTAATACGATTAAGAAAGAAGATCATGATATTTACACAAATTATTATTTAAATAAATGCACAGGTGTTGATAAAGTTTTTGATTTATTAGATAAAATATCAAAAGAAACCATTGGAACCTATAAAATTTTATGTGATTGTGGTTTCATTATTGAAGATACCAATAATGTTTCATATGAAAGAACAGCACCGAAGGAAGATGAAGTGGAAAGGTCTATACCATTCGTTATTAAGAATATAAAAGATATGAAAACGTATAAGCATTATATTTATTCATTTATTTCAGAAAAAATGGAAGCAACCCATAAAACATCTTCTCATCATTTTATAGCTATTCATACATTCCTTTTCAAAGTTGTGAAATTAAATAAGACAGGAATTAGATTTAATGTATCAGGGTACGCATTCTTGAGTAAATTAAAATGTATTCGTCACGTCGCAGATGATAAAAATTTATGTGTTCTTAATTCATTTTATGGGCTTTAAAAAATAAACTTTATTTTTATTTATTTTTTAATTTTTTATTCTTACATAAATGAACAAAAACGGAACAGCTAAAATGAATGATAATCAAATTAGAGCAGAAGGTAGAAGGTTATTTAAACGCTTCTATAACATTCCTGATGGTGTTAATCCTAAAACTCGTAGAAGTTATTTAAATGAAGCAATAGATTCATATGAAGGGTTTGACATTTCATCAGAAAGTGAGAGATTAGCGAGAATGTTAAATGTTAATATTGATTTCTATTATTGTGATCCTCAACCAGAAGACGTGGACATAAATAAGGTAGACTTTCCATTAGTGGAATCAATAATGATAGATCCAGAATTTGAAACAATAAATATTTTATTAACACAGAGTCCATGTGGAAAACTTCACGCTGACAGAATAACAGACGTTGAAGCACTCACCGGCTATAGAGTTTGTCCATATTGTAAAGAAGAAGTTTATTCTATCCGTGATGATCCAGAAAGGAAAAACCAAAGAAGATTTTTAAAGCATTGTGAGAAATGTAAAGAAAATAATGGAAGATTAATTCAAGACGTTCAATTGCAAAAGACACAGCAACCATATGCACCACATATTACGAAACAGAAGATATATCAGTGGTTATTAGCTCATAATTTGCAGGAATATTATCAACCGACAAGATATTATATTACTTTTGACTTCGAAACATTAGAGACTAAAGAAGAATTACAACTTTCTGAGTGTGCAACTTTGAACGCTTACTTAAAACCATTCATGGTATCATCAATGGTTAAATTAAATGATAAAACATATACGAGGAATTTTTGCTTAACTTCGAGTGATTCTTTTATTTCTGATTGGATTGAGTTTTTATTTTCAACCTGTTCATTAGTTGCTAAATCAAATATTGAACAATATGAAGAATTAATGAAGTCGCAAACGGACCAAACGGCGGGGACTTTGTCTCATACATTAAATGAAAAACAGAAGGAAGCATTTAAAAAACTTCTAGATGAGGAATTCAATAAAGTGAATATCATAGGTTTTAATTCGGGAAAGTTTGATTTAAATTTAATTCTTCGTGATTTAAACACTGCAAAATGGAAAATAAAATCAATGCTGGGTTCATCTTCACAATTTAAGCAAATCATTGTAAAGAAAACAAACGTTCCATATGAATTGAGATTTATTGACATCAGAAATTATATAGCGGGTGGGACATTAGACCAATTCACTCAAGATTTCGGAAACAATAAATCACGTGTTAAATCCTTTTTCCCTTATCAATTCATCACATGGGAAAATTACGAAGAAGAATTATATAAAGAGGAACCATTCACGAAAGATTCATTTTATTCAGCATTAACTCAAGAAACTATATCAGATGGTGATTATCAAATATATCTCAATGATGCTAAAAACTTTAAGAATAGATTAGAATATTTTATTCATTATTGCAATAAAGATGTTGAAATTATGATTGACCCAATCGATAAAATTATTGAAGAAACATTTATTTATAAAATTGACACGCTTCATAATCTTTCTTTATCATCGAATGCATCAATGATTCGTTACGCTTTAGCATATAAAGACTTTAATCCTAATGAAAAATATCCTGAGGAAAAGATAGAATCAAGTTTTGAATTAACGAAAAAGTATTGGAAATATAAAATTGAATCATATAAGAAACAAGATGAAAAAGCAGAAAGGGATACTAAAAATAATGTTTCAATGGATGATTTTCAATACTATCACGATTTAATCCTTTCATCTAAATGCAAAATGTGTGGTAAAGCGTTTACATATGCAAATAAACCAACATTGGATAGAATCGATAATGAAAAACCACATACCAAAGAAAATTGTCAGTTAATGTGTTGTTATTGCAATGTCGTAAAATCAAATAAAGATGAAGATGTTCAACGTTTAAGAATCAATTTAAGAAATTATGCATTAAAAAATAATTTACCAATGACTTTAGATTCAGTTGAAGCTTATCACATTCTCCGTAATGGAATTACTGGTGGTTTATCAAATGTTCAACATAGAGTAAATCTTAAAGGAATCACGCACATTAATAAACTTTCATATAGTCCAGAAACTAAAACTGTATCAAATGAGGAACCACCAACATATGACTCATTTCGTTGGTGTTGACTTTAATTCATTATATCCTTCATCATTTTCATCTAATCCTCATGATTTCATTCAATATACTGACCATAAAATGTATATGCCGGGAAGATTGAATGGTGTTATCATTTGTGATACAGCAACAAAGAAAGCAAAAGCTGGGAATAATTAAGAAGAAAAATACTTTATTCGTGGCTGAAGTAAAGGGTCACATTGATGAAAAATACATTAATGATTACATAAACTTTTTACCGATAATAAGAAACTTAGATATTATCACAGATGAAAAAACAATTGGCAGTTTTATGTATAATTACATGAAATCAAACAATCTACCAGTTGACCAGAAACAGAGGAAATTAACTCAGTTAGCATCAACACACAACCAATATCAACCATTTTCTTCTTATTATCTTGGTATCTAATCGACAGATTTCATTTTATCATTGATGATATTCAATCAATTTTAACATTTACTAAAAACACTTGTTTTAATGAATTTGCGAACAAATTTATGAACGAAAGACAAAAGGCTGAATTAGAAGGAAATAAAGGAAAAAGTTTATTTTGCAAAATTTCACTTAATGGATCATATGGTTACGATGCAATGAATACACAAAATTACGCAAAGACTAAAATAATGAATGCACAGAAGGCACGCGTTGCATGTATGTCAAATAAGTTTAAAAACATAAGAGAAATAGGTGAAGATACATATCAAGTGATGCTTAAAGATAGATTTTATAGATGTGATACATGTTTACAAGAGGCATTCTTCACTTTAGATAATGCTAAATACTGGTATTTGGTTTTCATTTATGATTTTATGTATAAATGCATGGATTTTAATCGTTTTCATTTCATTGAAGGTGATACTGATTCATCTTATTGGGCAATGCTGGCGACCCAAATCTTCCTAACACTCAAGCATTTCAGCGATTGTTACCGATAAACAATTTTATGATAAAAACATTTTCAAATTCGCACCATTTGATTTCTTCTGTTTTGATGAGAAATTTAAACCTAAATTAAAGAATAAAGCTGAAGAAAAAGCACATGAGAAAAATTATTGGGTTTAGCAATTGAGAAACAAGGTGATAACATGGTTGCTTTATGTCCTAAGTGTTATACATCATTCAACGGTTCAATTGATGGAAGTGATTTTAAAAAGATTGCACAAAAAATGAAGGGTGTTAGTTTAAGACAAAATAAGCAATTAACACCTAAAAAATATTTGGATATAATAAATGATAAAGTGATATTTGATGGTCAGAATATTAATTTACAACTTAAAAATGGGTCAATGACTCGCTTAACAATCGGTAAGACTGCATTAACAGGAGCACACACTAAGGCTGTATGTTGTGAAAATGGATGTTGTATGCCATTTATTTAATACAATTTTAAATTTTATTTTTAATGAAATGCCACAGAAGAGACAAAATGAACCAAATCGATTTATACCAAATGGTTTTAACTTTCAGATTCCAAATAATCAACCACAACGAATTTTTTAAATCCCATCACAGCATTAACAGCAACAACAACCGCCACCATTTGATACCGTTTTAGAAGAAGGAACCGTTAATGATGGGATTTAATATGTAAATAATGGTTTTGATACTATGATTCAAAGAGGTGGGCACCCTTAAACATTGATTTTATTTTTATATAAATGGATAACACAGATTTAAAAATTTTAATTGCTGATTTAGTATTTAATCAAAATTTTCTTGATTATTATGATTTAAAAGCATATCTCCAAAAATATGATAACAATATAACGGGTGATGATATGGAATATTATTATCCATATTATAAAAATGAAATTTTGAAATATCATGATAGAATAATTTCTAAAATTAAAGACAAAATTAAAAATAATGAATATTCAAAGGGAAAAACTAAATCACAACTTAAACAGTTGAAAGATTTCAAAAATAAAGTATTAACAGAAGAAGATATTGATGAATTATATAAATTATATAATCCTGAGCCGCAAAAGCCAAAGGAACAAAAACAAAAGGTGCAAAACGCCCAGGTCCTTCAGACCATAAATGAAGCACAAGCTTTAATTTATGATTCATTAGTTAAACCATATTCAGCCCGACTTTTAAATGAAGATCAACTTTTGGAATTCATCCTTCAACATAAACTCGAAGCGGGAAAGTATATCAAACCTTTATATACAGCATATTTAAAACAAATGAATAGAATACATCCAGAATTAATGAAGGAAGGAATGAAATCCAAAATCAAAGCAGATAAAATTAAACCACTTGCAACACCAAAACCTCCAACGACAGTACCGCCTCCTCCTTCAGTTAATCCTTCATCATTCACTTTATTATATCCATTTCAAACATTAAAGAAGCAAAAAGATTTTAAAAAGGATTTCAAGATATTAAATAAACCAATTGACCCGAAAATTCAACCGTTAAAGGAAAATTTTAGTCGCCCTTCATTTGCTCCATATCCATATTCATACGAAATCGATCATTTAGAATATTCAAAAGGAAACGTTACTTATTTATTTGCCATTAACATTAACACTAGATATTTATATTGCATTCCAGTGAAAGGGAAAACAGAACAGGAAACAAGAAGAGCTATTCAATACTTACTAGATCATGAGAGAGTAGATAATATAAGGGGTGATGGTGATAAAGGATTTCAGGCAACTATGACTCATTATTTCCCACAAATTAATTTTTTCTTTTCATCCTCTCCATATACGTTTCATAATAAAATAGTTGATGCGGTAATGAGAACTCTTAGAGATGCGTTAGGGGTTAACGGTCAGATATACTGGGATGGAAATCATGACTCCATCATACAACAGTTAGTATATTATTACAATAATACATGGCATAGAACTATAAACATGAAACCAGTGGAAATGAAAAATGATATTTCAAAAGAATGGGAATATATTAGAAAGCAAATGGAAAGGTTGAATGATGTTAAACGTGAACAAATTAATTCGGGGCTCATGAATTTTAAACAAGGGGATAAAGTTTTGATTCATCTCGATTATGGAAAAACTAATAAATCAATGACAAAAAGAAGACGAAGATTTGACACAATAGCTGAATTTGTTAGATATATTAACGGCAATGCATTAGTTGAAGTTGACAATAAATTAATAGAAATTCCAATTTATTTTATTACTCCATTATATTTAAATAATATTTAATTTTTTTATTTCGTAAGAAATGAGTGACAACGAAGCAGCCAAGAGTCCAGACGATGAATATAAAAAGAAACTAAACAGAATTAAATCAAAAATATGCTATTACAAAAAGAAGCCGCAATGCGGTGGGGTTGAAAACAATAAAGAAATAATCGAAAAATTAGAAACTTATCGTTCAATCATTAAACTGAGTGAAGCAAAAATAAAAGAATTTAATAGAATAAATAAATTGGTTGGAAGAGATGAATTTAATAAAGATGAATTTTTAAACTCAATCCAAATTTAATTTTTATTCCTCTTTGACAACAACACAGGGGGAAGGCAGTTATGAATTATTTTTGAAGAACTGAAGGTGTCACTATGTCACCATGTCACCAGGTTATTTAACTTCTCTGAAAAAATGAGACAACATGACATTTAGACAACACAGGAGGAAGGCAGTTATGAATTATTTTTGAAGAACTGAAGGTGTCACTATGTCACCATGTCACCAGGTTATTTAACTTCTCTGAAAAAATGAGACAACATGACATTTAGACAACACAGGAGGAAGGCAAAAATAAATTCCAATCATACTTTATAAAGCTTCATTTACAGATATTTCATCATCAGTAAATGAATCCTCATTATCGTTTGGTTCAACCTGTTTATATAATCCTTTCATTTCTTCTTTCAAAACATAACACCATGTCTGTTTACCATCTATTCTTATCTGTTTCCTATCACATTTATCCTTAATGCTCATTTGGAAATTCTTGTCTTTCATGTCTGATGGTTTGCAGAATAGAGCATTTTTACACGTCATACCCGCACACAATTCATCATAATGTGTATTTATCCATACATCTAAAGGATTTGTTGATAATTCAATTAAATCTTGTTTGGCTTCAGTTATCGGAATGATTCGTACATTAAATGATGAAAGGTCATATTGCATAAAATACGTCAGTAAATTATCATAAAATTCTATAGTGCATGAATTCATCAAATTCTTGAAGTAATCAAATTGACCCTTAAATTTACCATTAACTCTTAAAACTACGTATCTTCTGTCTCCAACTTCAATTTTGACAGTGTAAACGTTGTTAGTTACGAAAATGAAATTGGCAACATTCTGAGCAGTTCTTCTGGGTTGATTCTTTTCATTAATTCTAATCTCATTATCCGTTATAATTGATTTCAAAGCGTTGAAGTTTGCAAGTCTGTCTTCACCTACATTCTTGAGTTCATTAAGTACAAGAAGCATTTTATTTTCAACTACTGAATTGAAATTACCCGTTAGCTCACCTATTTCGGTAATGTTTTTACATGAATAACCAGCGAGGAGTTCAGAAATAATGTCTGTGAATCTGTTTTTACCTGTTCCCTGAAGTCCTTTCAAAATAATTGCTGTTTCATTCTTGATTCCAGGATGTTGAATCATTGATGCAATCCAG